GGAAGAGAAAGTGAACTTAGTTTGAAAGAAGGCAAGATGAAGTCTTCTTAGAAACACCAGAAGTATGGAGACCTGTTTGCTTGGGAAGGCCAGAATCAATTATTAAGGAAAAGCAGTAAGGCGGCTTTACTTTGCCTGAAATCGAAACCTTGTAGCTACTGCTTTTTACTTTCCTATAAAGACGGGAGGCTTAAAATATAGCCAGGACTACTGAGGTTTATGGTACTTTTAAAAAGAAAACAAAGGTCACCATCTGTTTTGGTTATCATGCCATTGATAGTGGTGTGTAGGATTTGAATAGAACTCTGACCAAAAAGTATGATGTTTTCAGGCAAAGAATGTTTGGGACCAGAGTCTGGATGGGTACCAATGAGTTTTGAAAAGATAGGACTCTATCTATATGTTTCTTTCTTAGACCAACAAAAATAAATCATAACTAAATAATTAGATGCTAGTGCTGAATCTTAAGCTAAATTCAGATATCAGTACTTATTCGGTGTAAATCAGAAAAAAATCTGGTAGAAGTCAGAAAAAAAATACCTAATTAGAAGTATGAAAGAAGGAGGAGACTGTGGTGAGCCATGACGGTGCCACTGCACTCCAACCTGGGCAACAGAATGAGACCATGGCAAAAAAACAAACAAACAAAACCCCCCCCCAAAAGACTTGAAGAATAAAATGAGAACAATGAAGCTAAATTATTTCTAAACTTAGCAAATATTATTGCAGCACTAATAAGCTGACCTGGCAGAGGATCCAGAAAAATATACTCTTCCCAAACATGTGTCTGTTCTCAATCTATGGTTCACTACTGCTTTCGTTTACTTCTAATGTGCTTTTTTTTTTTTTTTTTTTTGAGTTGGAGTCTCACTCTGTCACCCAGACTGGAGTACAGTGGCTGCTCCCAGCTACCGCAGCCTCGACCTGCTGGGTACTGGCAATCTTTCCGCCTCAGCCTTCCAAGTAGCTGGAACTACAGGTGCGCGCTACCACATCCAGCTAATTTTTTTGGTTTATTGTAGAGATGAGGTCTCGCCAAGTTGGCCAGGCGGGTCTCGAACCCACAGGCTCAGGCAATCCACTCACCTCAGCCTCCCAAAGGCACGGGATTACAGGCTGAGCCACTGAGCCCGGCTTAACGTGCTTTTTTACCACCTTGTTTGCCTCAGTCTTCTGAGTAGCTGGGACTACAGGCATGCACCCCCAGGCCAGGCTAATTTTTTGATTTTGTTGTAGAGACAAGGTCTCACTATGTTGCTCAGGCTGGTCTTGAACCCCTGGGCTCAAGGAATTCTCCTGCCTTGGCCTCCCAAAGTGCTGGGATCACAGGCATGTGACACACTATGCCTGGCCTATTCTTCAAGTCTTTATAGCTTGATGCCTGTCTTGGCCAAAATGGAGATCTCAGACATAATGTTAGTTATAGTCTTTCGTCTCTTCTATCGGTTTAATAAATACTAGTCACCACTCTTTTTCCTTCTAGAAGTTTTAAAAGAAGTACATGCCTTGTAAATGAGTGTGAGGCAAGAGGAAATGCCAATAAATCAGCAAAAGTCAGTTCCTTTGGGTTAGTGGTTCACAAACTAGACTTTATATCAGCATCACTTGAGGAGATTTTTAAAAGTTCCATTCATGTCCAGGCCATACACTTCCAGCCTGCCAAATTAGTATCTCTGGGTTTGGACCAGGCATCGGTGTTACTTAAAGCCTCTGGTCTTTCCCATGTGCAACCATGAGAACCACTGTTCTAACTGTGCTTTTCCAACACAGGAAGCGCCTGGGGGTCTTGTTAAAATACAGATTTCAATTCAACAGCTCTGTGGAGGCACTGAGAGCCTGCATTTTTTTTGTTTGTTTGTTTGTTTTAAGTTGGGTTCTCACTGTCACTCAGGCTAGATAGAGTGTAGTAGCACAATCACAGCTCACCGCAGCCTCGACTTCCTGGACTCAAGAGATCCTTCTACCTCAGCTCCCCGAGTATCCAGTACTGCAGGCAAACTCCACCACACTGGTCTAATTTTTTTATTTTTGGTAGAGATGAGGTCTCGTTATGTTGCCTAAGCAATCCCCTACCTTGGCCTCCCAAAGTGCTGGGATTACAAATGTATGCCACTGAGCCCAGTAGGAGAGTCTGCATTTCTAATAAGCTCCCAGATGAGGCTGCTTTCTGCCACTCTCCACATTTTGGGTAGTGAGGCTCTGGATCAGGAGTTCATCATGTGATCCCTGGATCTTCAGCATCAGTGTCAGCAGGGATCTTGTTAGAAATAGCCGGGCTCGGTGGCTCAGCCTGTAATCCCGCGCCTTTGGGAGGCTGAGGTGAGTGGATTGCCTGAGCCCGCGGGTTTGAGACCCACCTGGGCAGTGAGACCTCATCTCTACAATAAATCAAAAAATCAGCCGGGCGTGGTAGCGCATGCCTGTAATTTCGGCTACTTGGAAGGCTGAGGTGGAAGGATCGCCGGAGCCCAGCAGGTCGAGGCTGCGGTGGCCGGGAGCGGCCACCGCACTCCAGTCTAGGCGACAGAGTGAGACTCCAACTCAAAAAAAAAAAAAAAAAAGAAATGCAAATTCTAAGCCGGCTCAGTGACTCAGCCTGTAATCCCCCACCTTGGGAGGCTGAGGTGAGTGATTTGCCTGAGCCACCGGGTTCGAGACCCGCCTGGGCAACTTGGTGAGACCTCATCTCTACAATAAATAAAAAAATCAGCCGGGTGTGGTAGCATGCGCCTGTAGTTCCGGCTACTTGGAAGGCTGAGGCAGAAGAATCGCCGGAGCCCAGCAGGTTGAGGCTGCGGTGGCCAGGAGCGGCCACTGCACTCCAGTCTGGATGACAGAGTGAGACTCCAACTCAAAAAAACAAGCAACAACAAAAACAAACAAACAAACAAAAAAAGAAATGCAAATTCTGGGGCCCCATCCCAGATCTGATGAATCGGAGCCTCTGGGGAGCAAAGCCCAGCAATTTGTTTTAATAAAACCTCTAGGTGATTCTGATGCACATTAAAGTTTGAAAATCACTGTTGGGTAATAGTTTCAGGCTTACTTTAGTGTTAGGCTTTTGAGAGGCAGGAAAGAGAGATCCCCACAGTTTACTCAAAGCAATGGAAAGGGCTTATTACGAGGATACTGTGGGAATAAGAGATCAAGCTTCACAGGAACCTGGGAAAAGTTACACAACCAGAATACACATAGCAAACCATTGTGGCATAGCTAGGCTTCCCCAGGAACTGGGATGTGGACTGGGATCATGGAGTGCTATTCTGCATCTGGAATGACTGCTCAGGCTGAGTGTAGCCTGCCCAGCTGTAGAAGGGTGCTGTGTCTTCCTCCCTTATCATGATTCAGCAATGCCCACTACCCCATCTCTGCTTACTGCAGAGTGGCTTAGTTGGAGTCCTGGAAGGAGGGTGCTTGAGTTAGAATTCTGGCAAATCATCTGTTTGGCCTCAGTTTTCTTGTCTTGAAAAATGGGGAAAAGATACCTGCACACGTATGTTTACCACAGCATTGTTCACAATGGCAAGAACATGGAACCGACCGAGCTGCCCATCAAAGGAGGACTGGATTTTAAAAAGTGGTACATATACACAATGGAATATTACTCAGCCATAAAGAAAAACAAAATCATGAACTTCACAACAACCTGGATGGACTTAGAGTCTATAATACTGCGTGATTTTTCACAGAAACAAAGAACTGAGCATCACATGTTCTCACTCATAAACGAAACTTGAACAACTATTGTAATACTATAAGAAAATGATTGGCAGTAGCGGGAAACTGTGGGGGGGGGTAGAGAGGCAGGGAGGTGGGATTGGCAGTAATGGGAATTTGCCTGGGGAAGGGGGGCACACTTCATCAACAAGGGTGCCTGCATAATGAATAGCCCTGAATTGTACCCCACATACTTAAAATAGAAAATTTAAAAGTTTTTTTTTAAAGAAAAATGGGGAGACTAACTGTACTTGCATCAGACTTATAGGATTAAATGAGATAATGACTGTGACCTGTTTAGAGCACTGCTTGGCACCTAGTAACTGCTCAAAAAAGAGAATGTCATTATTGTAAAAAAAAAAAGCTGGGCTGGGTGGCTCAGCCTGTAATCTCACGCCTTGGGAGGCTGAGGTGAGTGGACTGGCTGAGCCCGCAGGTTTAGGACCTGCCTGGGCAACTTGGTGAGACCTCATCTCTACAATAAATCAAAAAATTAGCCAGGTGTGGTAGCGTGTGCCTGTAGTTTCAGCTACTTGGAAGGCTGAGGCGGAAGGATCGCCAGATCCCAGCAGGTCGAGGCTGCAGTGGCTGGGAGTGTGCCACTGCACTCCAGTCTGGTTGACAGAGTGAGACTCCAACTAAAAAAAAAAAAAAGTTTATGAGTCTAAAGCAAACATGTAAAAGTATTATCAATAAATAGCTAAAATATGATTAGTTCTGAATAGAAATGCCCAGAAGTCATATAGATAGATAGTTATAATGTAGGATATGTCCAGAAAGCAATTTCAGTTTGGAATGGTTGAAACTAACTTGATTATGGAAAATCTTAGGAAAAGAAATAATGTTTCTTCAGACCTTGTCAATGGCAGAAGGTCAAACATCATTCCTCAGCTGGCTGAAGTCATAGAAGTGATAATAAGACCAATTTTTTGCTAAGGAGCTTGTGGATTGTAAACATCTGACAGGTCTCTTGCAGGAAAAACCCCTCCCCTTGTCTCTTCCCATTGAGCCCACCATCATGGCAGCAAGCATGTGACTAACCTACCCATCTGCCTGCTGTCCATCACCTGACATCAGTATATGCACTTATCTGCCCCTTCATGATGACATGGAGCAGACTACTACCCAATCACCTTAATGACCTTCCCTCATCAAAGGGAAGGAGTAAAAGGACTCAGCCATAAGCAACCAGACACCATTGCCTTGCTAAGCTATGGTGTGGCCACGTGTTCTGAAAGCTATGGCCAGGCCGTGTTTCTCAGCTTTGGTCCCCCCTCCCCTACCTTGGGGAGGTGAATCTCCTCTCTCTCTCTTTCTCTCTCATTTACTTTCTAAATAAACTATATTTCCTAATATAAACAAAAAGAAGAAATAATGTAAACTATTAGATATGATCTATATTGATTTTTACTGTTTTGTATATTTAAAAATATATGTATGCAACTTTTCACTACTTGACAGGGAATTTTTATATATGTGTATTTCTAACACAAGTGACATACAAAAATAGCACATCACGTTTTAAAAGGAATATAGAGTAGATACTATGGTTCAGGTGAGCGTGACCTGAAATGACTTTATCATAAAGTGGTTAAAAAAATCTGTAGTTTCATTCTCCATGAAAGTAATCAGGCTATTATATGGAAGGAGGATGACATGTCAGAGGTACAACAAAGGCTTGTTGCACAGAAGTTAAGAAGCAAGCTCAGGCTGAATAAGTGGCACTTTCTAAGGAGGTTGCTATAAAGTTGAGAGGAGTGAATTCTCAGTTCCCAGGAGTATTCAAAAACTATCTGTGGGGTCATTTGGCTGGGATGTTGGAAAACAAAGCAAAACATTATTTATCCACCCACACAATGATACTATGAAACACTTACCACATATGAGGTTCCATGCTATGGAAAGGAAATACTGAGGTAAGCCAGTCAGACACAGAGTTCATAAAGCAATTAGGGATACAGGCAAAAAATAAGTTAACAAATAATTAAACAAGGAAGGCAATTGCTGACTGTGAAGGTGATCAAAGAAGGTGACACTTGAGCTAAGCCCCAACAGGTGAGAGCTGACAGAAGAGGATCCCAGGCTTCTGAGACCTTAAGAGTGCCCAGTCTGCAAAGGGCTTGTCTTTGTAAAGGAAGAGACAGCACAGGGCAACATGGTGAGGGCACAGAGGTAAGACTCGGGAGGCAGGAGCTGGCTGTGGGGAGAAGTTTTTGTTAAAGGAAATGAGCTATGGAGAGTTTTAAACACAGGAGTGATGCTATCTGATTTATATTAAAACAAACAATGAAAACAACAACAAAAACACATGTGTACACATGGATCTCTAAATTCCTATCCAAAGCTGAGGTTGTGACTCTGTTACATGAGAAGGTCCTAACTGTCTTATGGCACATATAGAACAATTACACACCTGTCTTTTGGTATTTGTTCTATTTGGCAGTAAGACTCAACCTAGAGAAAGAACACCAAATTGCAAATTTAAACAGTAGCTGGGAGAGAAAATGAGTTATTCTTGTGATTTATGATTTATCCTAACCAGCCCTCATCATTACCCCATTTGTCCCATAGATCTCTGCTTTTTTCTGCTCTAGTCCTCTGTGCCCATTCAGCATTCCTACCCCCGACTCCCCACTCCACTCCTTCTAGTGCTTCTATCTGGTCAGCAATTCTATCCCTGACAGATGACTGGGCTCTTTCTCCTGGTCCCAACTCATTATTTTGCCCCATAATGGAGGGCCTGTCTCCTTTCTGTCACAATGGACTGTCCTTTTGTCCCAATGCCTTGGCCTGGACTCAGCACCATTTTCTCTCTTACAATCCATGAGACTATAGTCTCCTTGAGAAAAAGGATTATATCTGGCTCACTATTATATGCCTGTATTCACCACAGGACTTGGCATCTCCAATTGTTAAGTCTTCAAGAAATACTGTTGAATGAGTGATTACTCTGACCTTGGAGGCAGCTTGTATAGACATGAGATGCTTCTGGACAATGACTCCCTCTCTGCACTCAATCCTATCATTCTCCTTCCAGCTTCTGCAATGAGAACCAGAATGGCTCTGTGCCTGTTAGCTTCTCCCCAACTATTTTAACCAGAGCTAGAACTAAGCCTTGTCTCTCTTCCTTCCCTTCTTCCTTCCTCCCTCCTTCCCTCTCTTTATTTCTTGGCACAAGCTTGGGCACAATTCATTTTTCCTGAATTGTATCTGAGTCTTTATTGTGGCAATTCAGAAAACTCAAGTGTGCAGATGCTCTGTATCATTTCTAAAATAACAGTAACAGCTCACATTCATCGTACATTACTGTTTTCCAGGCACCATGCTGAATACTGTGCAAGGATTGTCTCCTTTAATCTTTACTGCAACCCTATATGGAAAATATTCGACTTATTTTATAGAGAAGGACACTGAGGATTAGAGAGGCTAAGAAATTTGCCCAGAATTATAAAGCTAATAAGTAGGAAATCTGAAATTGCCAAGATTCTTCTGAATGGAAAACTTGTATCGCAAATAACTTTGAAAAAATATGTAAAATACAGTTTATAATAATATATCAACATACTGAACACTAGCACAAACAAATGAATAAATTAATTGATGATGATATTGAAAAAGCGATGCTAAAATGAAACTCTCCGTTGCATAATTGGATAGATTTAAATTTCTCTGTCACACATTTCATCCTCACCTCCAAAAAAAAATCTCTCTGCATAATCCTTTACTAGTATATTGGAGCATATTTAAGATTTTTTTTTTTTTTTTTTTTTTTTTTAGTAATTCTAAAGAATTTCATTTTAACTGAAGAAACCGAGAAAAACCAGAGAGGCTTAAAAAATAGTCCATATCTTAGAATTTAAAGTCCTCAAATAAAAGATATGAAAAGAACTTAAGAGTCCTCATGTATAATTGAATTGTATATGAGATAAAAAATCATTCATATTTTTAAAACCTGCATTACTTATAGAAAGTCTCAGGAACCAAAATCAGCTCATCTTTCAAAGTTCTCTGAGTGACAGTTTTAAAGTGTCCGAAAGACAGATTTTCCAATTTTTAACTTAACGTCGAAGCAAATATCCATTTTTTTTTTTAAATTTAAAAAGAGATGGCCTTTAAAATGCCGAATGTTCCTGATGTTATCTGAAACACTACCTAGAAAACTATAGTATATCAACCATGGCAGTCACCTAGTATAAGGTCGAACTCCTGATGATAGTATTATTGAAGAATAATAGTTTTCCTTCATAAAATAGTCATCTAAAGGAATCTTGATTTTTATGTCTATGCTTGTTGTCATAAGTAGTTTGTGAAATATTACATAATTCACTTAAACTATACCAAGAATCATAGACGGCACCTCTAGCAAATTCCCAAATAAAATTTAAGAGAATAAATGGTCAACGTTTACTAGCCAATCTTAACTTAGGAAAATAATTTTCCAATACTTGAGAAAATGATGAACCCAAATTAAAATTCTAACTTGTAAAAGAGATTTCACATGTGTATTTCACTTAATTTACCAAATTCAGTGATTTAAAAACATCTGTACCAGCATGATTGTGTTTATTATATGTCTATGTTATCCACTGTTTTCGTTAGAAGACTCTTTAGGGCTCATGAGGAGAAGGTAATCCTGGGTATGCGTCATACATACTTCAAAAACTCTTAGCTTTGTATCCATGGGCAAGTCACTTAAACTTTTTGAGTCTTCCTTGCTTCATTTGTGCTATAGATAAATACTAATATTCACCTTTCACCCGGAATGAGACCATACATAGGGCAGAGGCTTACACTGTAGCAGAACAAACTGGGTTCAAATTCAGGCTTTCCCTCTGTACCAAGGCCTACATATGTGAAGCATTGGATATATTCCTTATCCCTTTGGAGCCTCAGTATCATCATCTGTAAATTTAGAATATCACCTACCCAGTAAGATTTCATAAGCATTAGGAAAAAAATGTATATAAACATTTGGCACTTATTAAGCTTTCAATAAATGGTAGCTGTTGATTCTTGTGGACACATTTTGTAAACTGCATTTTATATGTAGGGTATTATGGTATGACTTGACTGTTTCCTTAGCTATCACATAGTTTCTTACTGACAGACTAAACCACATTTCTCCCAAATAGTATTCTTCTATATATGATTATATTTTCCTTTAAGTATTAAGGTCCTACTGTGATACTTTTTAAATGAAATTTGTTATGAGATGATATTAGCCAACCCCTCAATAATGAAATCTTTTTTTCCTTCCTTCTTTGCTGTATTGCAGTCTGTAGTCTGTGGTGAGTTTTTCATCTATTTATTTATTATAGTATTCATTCATTCAACAAATACCCACTGAAGGTTTACTATGTCACAAGATATATGTTAGGAGTTATATTTCAGGAAGAATTGGCCTGGATGTTTTATCACAGGTAGTTTCATAAAATATTATGCTATTATGATAAATTATTTCAGTAATAAACAAGTTAGCATAATATTATAACTTTTATAAATTATAGTGGGAATTAAAAATATATTTTGACAATGTGATATATACTCCCTAGAAATAATTATATGCAACCTCTTTTTTTTTTTTTTTTTTTTTTGAGGTGGAATCTCACTCTATCACCCAGACTGGAATACAGTGGCATGCTCATGGCCATCCCAGTGTCGACCAGCTGGCCTCAGGCAATTCTTCCACCTCAGCCTTCCAAGTAGCTGGAACTACCATGCCCAATGAATGTTTTGATTTATTGTAGAGATGAGGTCTTGCCAAGTTGCCCAAGCTGGTCTCGAACCTGTGGGGTCAGGTAATACCCTCACCTCATCCTCCCAAAGTGCTGGGATTATAGGCTTGAGCCACCATGTCTGGCTGCAACCTCTTTTCAAGAAGATTACTGTATAAATTAAATAAATATAAAGTGCTTATGAAAGATTAAACCAAAGAAAGGAATTTAAAAATGCAAACAACTTTTAAAATTACATTTTTGATCAAGTATTGAATTATCTTTCAGAGCAGATTCTTTAGGGCTTTATATCTAGCATAACTTTAAAATAGGCCATAATTGGAGACAATTTAAAAAATCTTTCTGTTTTCACTTTATTTTCTGTAATAGACATGAGCCTGCCATAGTCTATTTCTATGTGGAAAACAACAGAATTTTATATGTGTATATAAATTTCCATAATGTTTTAAGCTATTTCCTTTGATAATACTATTATTATTATAAATACAATACTTTTTAACTGTAACTGAGTGCCTCCAATGTGCAGCAGTTGCAAACTGGATGATTAAAGTACAAGATGAGCATAGCAGGGATGGGTAAACTATTGCCTGTGAACAAAATCCAGTCCACCACATCAACCTGATTTTGTAAATAAAGTTTTATCGGAACACAGATCGATTCATTTGTTTATATGTAGTTTATGGCTGCTTTTATGATATACTGACAGAGTTGAGTAGTTGTGATAGAGACAGTATGGTCTGCAAAGACTAAAATATTTACTATCTTGTCCTTTATAAAAAAGAGTTTGCTAATCCATCCTTTACATTGAAGGTATTAAAGAAGTTTTACAGCCATTTTGAGTATCAATACAAAAAACAAGAAGGAATTAAAGAGAGGCTGTGTATGTTCAGCTCCTTTTAGGCTTGTGCCTGATGCTTTGTGGGCATACCAAGGTAGGATAAACATTGCATTTTTGAAGACACATTTTCTACAGGAAGTCTTTGCTCACTGGGCTAACGGGGCACTGCAGTTCCCCACTGAGATAACAGAAATTCCAAGTGTTAAGCCACCAAGTAAATACCCACCAGAGTTGTCTAATCTTCATTTCTTTTAGAAGCTGGGAATTTTAATTTTTTCCTGTTGAAAATATTGTGGCTTTCTCTATATCCATAAGCAACACAGCTTATTTATTTGAAAATGGCCATTTTTTTGTTAAAATTAAAATTTTTTTAAAAAGTTCACACATTACCTGCATGTTGTTCTTCAATCCAGACTTGCAAGTACATGAAGAGGAGTAGTCCTGCTACTCCAAACACCAGCACGGAGAGGAAGACTTGTTTGGGGTTCATGACCACTTCAGAAGGCTGCATTCCTCATCGTTTCTGAATCTAAAGATCGCATGTTATTCTTGTCCATAAAGCTTCAATCATTTCTTGGAGTCTAGGGGCCCATTCCATAAAGTAGCCTAGAATTTAAAAAAGAAACCCATATTGTACATATCTGATCACATTAATTTCCAAATATGATATAAATACACAGTAAATCAACAACACTGAAGACTTCCATGCACCGTAATGCTCTGAAGACAGACAAGACTGTAGTAGAGGTTCCCAGAATGGCACTTTTGTATTATGTTTTTATCTTATCTAAAGAATGCATTATCCTCCAGTTAATAAGTAACATCCTAAGTTAATTAGGTGAAGTTTGGTCAGACGTAAGTCCTGCTGTATTTATTTATTTTTTGAGTTGGAGTCTCACTTCGTTGCCCAGGCTGGAGTGCAGTGGCATGCTCACGGCCACCCCAGTGTTGACCTGCTGGACTCAGATGATCTTTCTGCCTCAGCAGCCGGAACTACAGATGTGTGCTACCATGCCCAGCTAATTTTTTTGATTTATTGTAGAGATGAGGTCTTGCCAAGTTGCCCAGGCCATTCTCGAACCCATGGACTCAGGCAATTCGCTCACCTTGGCCTCCCCAAGTGCTGGGATTATAGACTAAACCACTGCGCCTGGCCCGCTGTATTATTAAGTATAAAGTCAGGTTTGGGTTACCTTCAAATGATCATAAGAAGAAAGAGTAACCAAATGGATTGCTAAAAGATAGGGTTTGAATATGTTTATAGACTGTAGGGAAAAAATTACTTTATGCCCTAAAGATATGTAAAGTTCAAAAATGGAAGGTTTAATCTATCATTTTCCTGTCATGTAAAAGTAATAGAGTTTTCCAACTTTAAATTCATGATAAAATCCTTCAAAGGCATAAAAGGATATAAATATAAAAGGTCAGAGTTGAAGGACTCTTCCCATAATAACACAGAATTATTGAAATCTACCTCAGAATACAGAAATCTATTTCACTAATAAAAGGATATTTTATTTTAAAAATATTGTAATGAATTTCTTTTAGAACCATCTCAATTAATATAATCTTAACATTTCATTTTTTTAAAAATCACATCCACTTTTAAGAATCTGATGAAAATGTGAACCCTCTCCTCAGAAAAATATAAACACACACAATATCTTGCATACAATGCCAATATTTTTGTGGATCTTCATTGAATCTCATGTTAAGAATTCCTATTCCCAATAAAGTGTCACATATGAATGCAGTAATCCACATGGTGAGCTCACCTGGCTAGCAGCCTGGCTAAGGCTTTGTATGTAAAGCTGACCAGAGACCCTGGCTCTGTTTCTTGGTCACAGACCACACTGTCTCTGGGTGAGTTGAACAAATATTTCCTCAATATAAAGATATCATGCAGATTGTTGTGTCTAAAAATTATCTCTTTTATTCCAAATATGCCTCAAAATCTGTGGACAGAGTCTTTGAGAGAGAATATTGATTTAGCCTGTTTCAGAGGTATTTGCTAGGTTGCCAGTTAAAAGTTGAAAACTACTGTGGAAAATTGCTAGGCTGGTTAAAAAATAATACTTAGGTTCTTGGCAAAATCAATTTCCACTCAAATGGGCTTCAAAGGTAATATAAGAAGTCAAAATTAGAAATGCATGTATTAAAATAATTAAAATGATCTCCTGATAAGAAAAAAAACCCACCAAATAGTTAAAAGTTTTTATGCAGAATGAGAAAAAGTCAGATCACAAATATTTATTTTTCTTTATTTTAACTATTACTTGGAAGGGGCTGTGGTTGTCAGCATTACCTGAGATGCTTTCTTAAATCTACTCCTTTGAGTCTCCTAGGAAGGGGCAACTGTTAACTTTTTTCCCTAGTGCTTTTGAGGGCTTCAAGCATTTTCTTGACTTTGGTAGTAAAGAAAGTTTTTAAATAAGTAAAAGAACTAAGAGCATTATCATGCTGCTTATTTGATGGGTGATATTTTGCTTATATTGAATCAAAACAAAAATATTATGGGCTTACAAACATATGTCACAAAGAACAGTTCCCAAGGGAGATTTGCAGTTTGAGGTGTTCCAAGATTGACTGCCTCAAGGGAAGCTAGGAAAAGCCAGCTTTCTCTTCTCTTGATGCTGCAGTTAAACATGAACAGACACAATTCTTGGGTACATAAGAAGATTCAGATAGGAGGAGACCAGTTAAACAAAATCTACAGCTAACAAAGAAATAGCTGTTTACAAGAAGAAAAATACTTTTACAATCTGTCTACACAATTAAAACTTATCTCAAAAGAGAAAGGCTAGAAGAAAACTCATAAATCAGATCAGAGCCACAAACCAGTGGGAATAGTGGGTGTAGGAGTCAAAAGAAGTACTCCTTGGGGGTTTGCAGAGGAAAATTATTACCTACGATGCTGGAAAAAGATTAAGAATTTGCCCTTCTTTTCTTTGGGAGATGTTGCTATACTCTGACATATCCTCTTGGGTGAGAAGGCAGTAGAAAACTCATAATTGTTATTATGGCAGATGTGAGTAGGATTGAGTGATTAAAGCCACAAGGCAGAAAGGCAATCTGGTGTAAAATGGAGAGATACATTTGATTTTCTTTCATCTCAGTCCATTAACCCAACATTGGCGTTAGGAAATGGCTCTCATTAAACAAAGGTGAGGCGATAGGAGCGGCAGGATTGCTTTAAGCAAACCTGAAGGTCAGCTGTGATGGGAAAACACACCTATTTGGAGATCGTATATCTACCTCCAAGCCTGCGGAAAAAGTGCAGACTGCTGGAGATTGAAATTACTTGGAATAATGCTGTTTTATGTACAAGCATTATACGTTTCTATAGCCAAAGGCTTCCTGTATTTTGTACAACTTCTTCCTCTCCCCACTCATAAACACATCTTGAACCAAATAGGTACTTAACAACTTGTTGCACTGAAATGAATTTGGAGCTCCACAACAAAATACAGGTAGTTGATGAATTTTATAGTGAATTTGTAAATCCTTAGTCTTAACCTCCAAATAGATAAATGTGGACTATTAGATTCCTATAAGATAGGGTCTAAGTTTCTTTGTTAAAAATATCTTTATTTGCATATCTTATTGATTTGTCTCTAAGTTATGAAAAGAAATATAAAGATAGTTATTTCATTCTATCATCTCTTTTCAACACTTCAAAAAGTATTCTCTTAAATGACCATGGTTAGCCAGGCTCGGTGGCTCAGCCTGTAATCCCGCGCCTTTGGGAGGCTAAGGTGAGTGGATTGCCTGAGCCCGCGGGTTCGAGACCCGCCTGGGCAGCGAGACCTCATCTCTACAATTAATCAAAAAATCAGCTGGGTGTGGTAGCGCATGCCTGTAATTCCAACTACTCGGAAGGCTGAGGTGGAAGGATTGCCGGAGCCCAGCAGGTCGAGGCTGTGGTAGCCGGGAGCGGCCACTGCACTCCAGTCTGGGCGACAGAGTGAGACTCCAACTCAAAAAAAAAAAAAATTACCATGGTGACCAGTAGAAGTATTTGGGGGTTTAAGTATAGAGATGAATTACTAGCTAAAGGCAAGTTACATTAAAGGAAATTATGAGTTTCTCAGTTTGGCAGAAGCTTATGATTTTAGGGAGGAGGAAGTGGTGGGATTGTAGGGAAGGTTGGTTTGGACCAAATGATACAGGCAGTTTGGAGAAGAAACCTAGAGTCAGGGGACGACTGCCCCCAGTTCTCACCCTCAACTGGACCTGGGAAGCCCATACCTTCTCCCTCTCCAGAGCAGCTACACCATTTGCTAGCACTTTCCCACCCTTTGAGCAAATAGAAACCATCAATGATGAGCCCTCTCAGTTTACTACTCACCACTTACAAGTTTACCTTCGTCCATCCCCACCCATACATCTTTGCCTCGCTTCAGAAAAACAAGAGTCCTCAATTTTGTTCCATCTTTTCCAGCCTCCTGTGAAATGCAGCTCCATCAACACCTCCCAGTCTCATCCTCACTTACTCAGTGTCTCGGTCCTCTGTAAACTCCTCCAGCAAACGCACCACTGCTATCATTCTCAGGCAGGCGGCAGGACAGGTACTGACCTGGACTGCCTCAGGCCCCTCATCCTATTCATTTCTGAACCCACAGCTGCCCAGAAGGTGAGAGAAGATGCAATGAGGTCAGAAATTGTGTAGGGTTTGAAATGTATAATTTTTTGTTTTATTTTTGTTTTGTTTTCATTTGTTTTTGACTATTCTGGTTTTCACATTTATGAATTTCCTGTTTATATCTCTTCTCCACTGCTCTTATTAATTTGTAGTTCTTTGTTCTACTTGGGATAGTAATTTTTATCTACATAGGCATTACAAAAATCTTCCTGTCTGTGACTTTTTCTCTCCTCTCTCCCTCCCTTTTCTTTTCTCCTTCCTTCCTTCCCTTCCTTCCTCCCCCTCCCTCCCTTTCTCTATTCTCTTCTTCTTCCCTCCCTCCTTTTGTTCCTCTCTCCCTTCCCTTCCCCTTCATTCCTCCTCCCTTCTTCTGCCCTCCTTCCTTTTTTCTCTCCCTTCCTTCTTCCCCCGACTCTTTTTTTCTTCCTTTGCTGTTTGTTGTTTTTTTCCTTCTTTCTTCTTTTTGAGACAGATCTCACTTTGTTACCCAGACTGGATTGCAGTGGCATGATCCTGGCTCACCACATCCTTGCTCTTTGACCTCCTGGGCTTCAGTGATCCTCCTACCTGAGCCTTCCAAGCAGCTGGGACTACGACAGTGCATCACCATGCCCAGCTAATTGTTTTAATTTAGTTTTACTAGTAGAGATGAGGTCTTGCTATGTTGCCCAGGCTGGTCTTGAACTCCTGGGTTCAAAGGATTCTCCTGCTTCAGCCCCCCCAAATTGCTAGGATTACAGGCAGGAGACACTGCACATGATCAATGCAGTTGTTTTGTTATATAGAAGTTTTAAGTTAGTTGTATCATTCTTTTCCTTTTTTGATTTATCAGCTGGTGTCTTGAAAGAAAATGTAATACAGTTATGACATTATGGAGAGCTCACTAAAGGGACACTCACAATGAT